AAATCTCTTTTGATATCGAACGACTCAAAGAGGTTCTTTTCAAATCTTATCGCGCTTCTGGCATTGTCTATCGCCGTTTTGCGCAGCTGTAAAAGTTTTTTGGGGATTCAGATATAGCGGCGTAGAACCAGGTCCTTTTCGTTTCATATGTGAATGATTACTTCATCTTGTCGACCGGCCAGGCTAGTGATGACTAATGTGCCTTCATAGCCTAGAGTCTAGTCGCAGCCGATGGTTTCTTGCTGGAAAAAAAGCAAGACGGTTACCACAAATTGTAGGAGGAGTTTGGAGGAAAATCACTTCAGATCCATCCATGGGGTATTTCACGCAGATCTTCGTCAAATGGTCACCGCTAGCATGAAAGGAACCATACATCCTTAGCAGAACATTTCTATCGGAGACTTTCAATGTGAACTCATCGGATGTCGTTATCGTCTACGCTTCTGCCTCGTACAGCTGTACAAGAATGATGAACGGACCTGTAGAGTTTTCTTATTCCTCTCGACTGTACTCTTCAATTGTCATCTCCGTCCGAAGCTCTTGTCTGATTTCTACAACCATTTTGTTGGGCTGGATTGGTGAGACAGGGGCGGTAATGTCTTGAATCTGTCTTCGCTCGAAACTTTGATGTAACTCGCTATTGTCTAAGTTGGGCTTTCCTAATGGCAAATAAAATACCTAACCTAACTTCTTTTGATATAAATTTAAAACGGACGACCTTACAAGAATGTAAGCTTTGCAAAATGCAACTCTACAACACTCACACACTCGCAATTTAACTATCGTACGCGCGTACGCATCGTAAAAGTAATTTCACTTGCTTAAGTGGTGCTCTGGTCACTTTCATATTGACAAACTCACGTTCGTTCGGGTCACCAGTGTCGTTGCGGAAAAAGTTAAGTGAAATTTCAATGCCACTTCCGGGTGTCGAACTTGTGACGCTGCCATGTGTGCTACATATTCGTGTACGCATCCTTGTATACGGACGAACGGAAGGCGTGTAAAGCAATTTCACGATTTCACAAATTAACACGAAGACGAGGAAACGGGTAATAATGCATGCCATGCCTTACATTTGCAAGGCGTTGCCGAATGTGAATTGTGGAACTTATAGATAGTCGCGTGATGAAGAAAACAACAGCGGAAGCGACCATTGCAGGAAATGAACGAAAGGATAAACGAGTGCAATGTGTGATGAGCAAGCTCAGAGCGTAGGGCGGGCCGTGTAAATGCAGTGTGAGTGCACACATGTCACAGAGAGAGTGAGAGTGAGAGAGAGAAATGAAAATGTAAACTAAGATAGGCGGATAGATAGAACTAGTTGATAACAGCAACGAGTAATATTTTTTTACAAAAACATATTTATAAATTTATACAAACTCGGCTGCACTGCGGCAAGCACAATTGAAAGCTCAGGCTAGACAAGCGGCTGGAGAGCGCGGCTTGAGGTGTGGCGACAATGTGAATTGCTTATTGAATAAAAAACCGTTGAACTACTGAACGAGTGCATAAAGCGCCGACTATAAAACGAAGGTTCACGAACACCATTAGGCGAACGGTGAATGCGTTTCGTGGCTCGTGCTTGAGTTAAATGCAGCAACGCCCCTCCTATGCGGCCTATGTACTCGGCAAAATTTTGTTGACCTGGAATCCTTGAGGCTGCAGCAATGGCGACATAAACTACAATTATTTTATTTTTTGTTGTTGCTCTTTTTTTTTTTGCGCTGCTCCTTGTGGGTTGTTGACATAGGGAGGCGGTTAAGTGCGATTGGGAAGAGGCGCACATGAATGCGGTGGGGGGAGTGCACTATTACTACTACTAAAACTAGTGAAATGAAAGTGTGTTTGTGTGTGAGTATAAGGTACGAATGAGTGGTATGTGTGGTATGAGATTTTGTTGAAAAGTATGAACGAGGCAAAAGAAATGAGTGAAAGGGAGCTTTTCGTGACATAATAATATTCGTTCGCAGAGGTACGTACATATGCACATACATATGTACATTAATATGTGAGGTAAATGGCTTTTGCAATGAGATATGGTTATTGTTGTTGTAAGCCATGTACGAATATATTTATAGAAGCTGCACATCTGTGCGCATATTACGACCATGTGTCTGCTGACTTTTGATAGATAAACACAATGACCTAATTAAGTATTGCATATAGTAGTAGATACATACATACATACATACATACATACATAACAGTGCAAGTGAAATAGTTAAGGAATATAGACAGTTAAATTTAGTGACCTTTCGTTACTTGCGGCTTTCAAATTCCCTACAAAATAAATGATCTGGTCGGTCTACTGCTCGCCTACGCTGACTTCACGAAAGATTACTTCGAGAGGGTTTTTACGGATTAGGACAAATACAACTGCTCTCGGCATGACTGCCTTATAGAAGATGAGCCGTAAAAAGTCCAGCCCTTCTGGATATTTCTTCTTTCTTTGCGATCGATCTCTGTACCAGTATAAGCAGACTCGATCCATTTTTAACTGTAGGGTTCAAAACTAGATAACAAAAGGGTTGATGGGAGGAGAAATAAACTCAAAAGAGTCTGGTTCAGTTTAGAGTTTTTCAAGGGGTACCAACGGCCATTCATGAGGTTGCCAATTGCCTAGACTTAATTTCACTCTCAGTAAATTGCATCTAAAGCATATCGGATGGCATTAAGAGTACTGGACACTGTAATAATAAAACGGCCGAAAATTTCCGCAGACTCCTTGACGTGCTTGCTGAGCACTTCCCTCCACTTTCGCCATCAGACGTCGCTTTCCACTTGTATATTTAGTGTAAGAGAGTTATTTATGGCAGTTAACATAAACTTAACTTAAGATGGAAACTGTTTTAATTGTTGTAATGTGGCGAGAATAACGAAGGAGATCATTAGAGATCGATCGCTAAGAGTGAAGAAATACCAAAAAGGGAGCTGATGCCTCCAGTAATCACTTTTACCTGCCCTATTCAAACTTTAAGAGTCTATTAGAGCATGTTGTCTGGTAGGTTCTCGGACTACTCTAGTAAAGGTGTTGATGTACACTCTTCGAAGTTTATCAAAGATCTAGTGGCACCTTATTGTATCCAGCAATTCGTCTAGCTTTGCGCTACTGCGTTCCAACTGAAATGTCTGGGACCACTTCCCACTTCCACTTTGATCAAGTTCTCACCTGGAAAACAATCACCCAAACCTCTTCTTTACCAAATAATGAATTCATTGGAGGGCAAGTTTCGCCCATAGTAAATGAAGGAAGTTACCTAGTGGTACGCCAGTTGCTGCCATATGCCTAGGTGAAGGTAACTGCTCCATGCGCAGACTGGGTTATAGAGCAGTAAATCCAACTCTTTTGATTGTAGTAACTTTCGGTTGTGAAATTGGAAAATCGCAGTCAGTAATTGACTTTCTCTCATTACTCTTTATCAGAATGTGAGCTGAATGTTAGAAGCCAGCAACGCAATGAGATTGGAGTAGACTTTTTAGGAATGATCAAGAGTGGGCTTGTCTTTGGATCAAGAAATGAAGACTTTCTTAAAGAATTGTTTAAAATATATCGAGTATAACAAGGACTTCGTGTGCTTCGCATAACTAGTCGTCTGAGCTCAAAACCACAACTCTGATCCATAACCTCAGCAGTTGTGTGCATCATGAGACTGTAAAGTGCCTTTAGTAAGGAGGATCTATCAGCCGATATCTCTTCCTAGTAGAAAAAACAATCGAGGCCATTCTGCTTCCGACTTTCACACACCATCTGAGGCCAACAGCACATCAGCATGGCTTCCGTATAGTGCACAGCTCTTTTAACGCCATAAACACCCAGTTAGCCATCAACCAAAACCGGACTTGCGATCGAACTGTCCTAGTAGCACAGGATTTGTCAAAAACGGACATTAAAGGCTCTTCATTACCGTCGGGTTTGAAGACGTAGAGCCAGAGTTTCGAGGTAAAACGTCTAAACTCTGTGAGATTAACTTCTATATCTCAAAGCTCGCTCCCTCCCCAGAAGTCATTACACTTCGAAAGTGAACTGTCATCTCACCGGACTTTCCCAAAAATAATTACAGTAACAACCTGCGAAATCCTTGGACATGAAGTTACTGGGAACGACATTCGACCGCATGCATTCCTTCACTCCGAAATCGGCTACAAAAACACGGAGTTGCAACGAAATCCTCAAAGCGTTAGCCGTCAACACCTGTGGGAAAGACAAAGAAATATTGCGAGCGACATACAACGCAAACGGCCGGATCGGATTTTGGCGCCGGAAACTAGCGCGACACAGGTGAGGCAGCTACTAGCTCACCAAAACATCAACCTCCGAGCCGTGACAGGAAAGCGAATGATGTCGCAGAGCATCACCTGCCCAGCGAAGCATCTAAGCTACGAGTTAAGCACATGTACAAGAACGCTGGACAGGACGGCTTACTGACAGGCTTTCAACGCCATTCACTGAGAGTCCGTTAACACTTTCTGGAACTACTTTCCAGTGAATGGCGTTTTCGGAGTTAAACCACCAACCATTGCAGACGCAAAGCTCGCGCTGCCTCGAGAGTCCCGCGTAATACTGGCATGACTTTGATCTGGATATTGCAGTCTATCCAGACTTGAGCCCTACATACGCTACATGCAGTGCGACCCATTACAACACTGACTACCTCCTTGCATGCCCGTTAAAACCTATTCATCTCACCTCCCTTTCCCTGTGGTCAGAACCCGTCGAAAAAGCTCATTTCTTAGATCAGCCATAGGATGACCTCGATCACTTAGAATGATCTTTCCTGCTTTTAAGCTGTGTTAGACCAGCTGTTATAACAACAACAACAATAACATGGAGCACTTCATTAATTGCTTTGGCGAAGACGTTGGGAAGTGTTTTTGGAGAGAGACAACAAAGTTCCTTAATAGATCTAAATTCATACATATATACATACGTATTAATAGCGGTTTTTGAGCTTTTCAAATTATAACCCTCTCTAACCTATTTTCTTCTTCTTTCTTTGCAGCTTGATCGATTTTGCGGAATAAATTTGAACGTCGAACGGGGCTCGTCGATGACGTTCTCGCTGACTTTTTCCAATAAACTGAAACTGAAAACAAACATGTTTACCTGTTTCTCCGCAACGAAAATGTAAACGAAAGCAAAAGAGCAGAAAATGTCGCGCCCAACTGCAGTCTTGCTGACCACCTTCATTGCAGGCACCACACAAAGCGCAGCAATAAATCGGAAACTGAAATCTAAACGCATATGAATTTCACCTGCTGATGGCCCAAGAACGTGTAGCAAACAAAAGCAATAAAACGTTTGTGACCAGTCAACGGTTATTTTCTTAGTCAAACACCGGTTGCGCCAGTCGGAACACAACATGTATCGTTTAAATGTACAACAACAGCAATCTCAGCAGCAAGCAACGTCATCGGCGTCCGCGGCAGCGTCGTCGTCGTCGACGTCGTCGAATGCGAAGTCCACCACCCAATCGTCGACCTCGAGCGCTGCCTCCGCCACCGCCACCGTCATACCCAGTCACATTTTCCTGCAGCAACAATTGGCCGCCGCCGCCGCTGCAGCTGCTGCCGGCATCAATCAACCGCCTGCCACAATCGCCGCTACGCATTTACTCAGTGTTGCTGCCATAGCCAGTGGCGAGGGCGCAACCGCTTTGGATCTGAATGGTGGTGCGCATCACCATCAGCAACGAACGCTCATCCAACAGCCGCGTCAAGCACATGTCACACACCACCAACGTCTGCATGCGAAGAACAACAGCAGTATTGCGCCCAACCTTCATCTTGGAGAGAAGCCCACCATCATAACGAATGTCCTGGCCGCATCGGTGGAGGAGAAGATTAAAATCATTTCGACTGCCATTAAAGCGGAGCCGCTGCACGAAGTGATTGCGCTGACGAAGAGTGGTTCTTCAGCGTCCGCGACGCCAGCACCGCCGTCGGCTTCAGTCTCAATGACTGCCGTCAATAGCAACAGCGCCCACAGCAATATCAGCAATACTAGCATTAATCACAATAGCAATAATACTCTAAGCAACAGCAATAGCAATAACAATCACGGCTCCGTGGGCCACAACTCGAATACAGCAAATTCGATGAACAACGGCAACAACAATAACAATATAATAGCGCTCACTGTCAACACACTGCCGTCAACGGCATCCTCATCAAGCGGTACTTCCATTTCCGTTGCTGCCAATAAGTCTTCTAGCAATGCAACAACAACAACAGCATTAGCTGTGAGTCCTCTTAATAATATGAACACCATAAATCTTGTTGTTGGTGGCGGTGGTAGTAGCGCTGGTCCAGCTTCAACCTCGAACAACAGTGGCGCAGTTGGTGGTGGGGGCACTTTGGTTATTACAACAGGCGGCAATCATGGCGGAGCAACGTCATCTTCTTCGGCGGCAGCAGCAGCAGCAGGTAGTAGTGCTGGCAATGCTGCCAACGGACATCTAGTGTTTGCATCGAAACGCATGCGTTTGGAATGGTAAGTTGATTTTACTCTTCTTCTTGTGCACTAAGCCACCTTCACTTTTCTTGTGAATTCCATTGATTTTTTTATATTTATTTCTATTTTAGTCCTCCAAGCAACGAGGAGTGGATCTCCACCTCTAGTCCGGGTAGCGTGCCCAGCTCAGCGCCACCATTGAGCCCATCGCCGGGTTCACAAAACCATAGCTACAGCGCAAATATGTCTAATGGTTATGCATCACCGATGTCGGCAGGCAGCTACGACCCATATAGTCCCAATGGTAAACCAGGTAAGTCGAAAGAACGTTTAGTTTTGATTAAAGTTAAGTTCATACCAGGCAATGCTCAAAAGTCGCTGTAATCCGTGATGAGTGAGGTCTCATCTATGATGAGTGCATAAGTTCGTGCCCGATTACAAGTGCAAACTAAAATTGAAATTTTTTGAAGAAAGCGCTTTTCTTAATCAATTATGTATTCGCCATCATGTTCCGCAATCCACTCCCAACGTTCAACCAATTTACGGATGCCTGATTCATAGAAATCGCGCGGTTTCTCGTTGAAAAAGGTGTCAAGGTGGTTTTTGACGTCTTCCACATTTTTAAATTTTTTTCCATTCAAATTGTTCTGCAGCGATCGAAACAAATGATAATCAGAAGGTGCAATGTTGGCTGAATATGGGGGATGCGGGATGATTTCCCAATTCATCTCCTTCAGTTTGGCCAGGGTCGGTTTTGCAACATGTGGCCTGGCGTTGTCATGATGGAAGAGACCTCCTTTGCGATTGGCCAAAATCGGACGTTTTTCATCAATTGCTCTCTTCAATTCGACCAATTGCTGACAAAACTTGTTGTCAGTGATCGTTTCTCCAGCTGGCAAGAGTTCAAAATATATCACGCCTCGGATATCCCACCAAATGCACAGCAGTACCTTCATCGGATGCAATCCACCTTTCGACATCGGTTCCGCCCCTTCGTGTGCCTGTTTCCATGTTCTTTTGCGTTGAACATTGTTGTACAGGATCCATTATCAGTCACGAGCCGATCCAAAAAAGGTTCGTTTTTGATCCGTCGAAGGAAAGAAATTGCTGTTGAAATACGGTCCACTTTGTTTCTTTCACTCAACTGATGTGGCACCCATGTATCGAGCTTCAAAGTGTACCCAACCTTTTTTAAACGACGAAACGCAGTTGATTTGTTGACGTTCAATTCACTGGCAACCTCTTCCGTCGAAATACGTGAGTTATTCGCAACTAAAGTCCTTAGAACATCGTCATCAAGCTCAGAAAACCGTCCACTGCGAGGTTGATCTTCGAGGTTAAAATCTCCAGAACGAAATTTCGCGAACCATTTCTTTACTGTGCGGAGTGCTGGAGCACGGTCCAAATAAACTTCGCGAATATCTTTAGTTGCAGCGCCTACTGTTTTTCCTTTGCGGAATTCGTATAACATAATATGACGCATATGATCTTTTTCGTTGTCCATCTTCCATGCGTCTTTTCACTAAGCAACTCAAATCAAAATGAAGTTATTTTATGCTTGATTTACAGTTCGGAATATATTTCTTTCACGAGCGCCACTCTCAAACGATTCGAACGGCATCCAGCGGAATCGGGCACGCACTTATGCACTCATCCAATACTATATCTTTCAGTGCTCATTGAGGGAATATTTTTAATCATTGTTTAGGCGTTTAAAGACGAATGAGGGCTGGACTTTCTGGAAACCGTGTGTAGTTTCGATTTCTACTTAATTAATGGCACCGCCTACGGAGTGGAGTTGATTCGGTTTGATCCGTTGTGATTATTGGCTAATGACTCCCTGCCGTTTGTCCCTTTTTTGGGAATATTTTCAAGAACTATTTTTGCTCTGCTTCGGCAAGGACGTTTGTGGAATGCCTAGTTCCAAAGAACGACGGTAAATAGAAAAGCCTGTGGTTTCTTCAACACCTGTTTTATTTTTCACATCATTAACTTGTCCCAACAGCTCAATTTCTTTTAACCCTTTACTGTTTTGCGGTCCCACCTGGTCGGAGGCCCGAACCGAGCTTTGCGAACCGTCTCTACCAGGTTTTCATCATTTTTGTAATGAATTTTAATAATTTCAAAGCGTTGCTGCAGAGTATATCGTTCCATTTTTACTCCTGGCGTGGATTTTACTTGTAAAAAAAATATCGAAAATCTACAGCTTCAAGTGACATCTACCGGAAAGCTCTTTATATTCAAGAAAGGAAGGTATTAATAAATATTTATTAGTAACGGTGTACACAGTTTTATTTTATTCTTTTTAATTAAGTGAGGCGTCAAGTTGTTATGCTGACAATAAATGTTCGATATACACACTTAACTGCATATTTGTATATATGTTTGTATATTTCCAATACATATGTTGTAGATATGTATGTGGCTGCACTCAATAAAAAGAAGCACTTGTAATCGAGTCTACGCAGCAGTAAAGTTAGTAACTCAGACATCAGCCACATCAACATGCCAACTTCCCTTTCCGACACAAAAGCCACAGTAACGCCTTTATGCTGTTGATTTTTATCTATAAATGCTTTATATACATACATATGCACGTATTCTACATATGCGTATGCTTGGAAGGCATATTAGTTTACCGGCATACGCGACGTGATATAGCGTCTCATGGTCTTATAGCCTCGCAGTCTGACAATGGGTTGGGTTGGACAGACCGCTTACAACTGCTTGTAACTTACATACATTTGTATGTATTTATTTATATCTTTAAGCTGACAACTAATAACAGTTTCATGTATGTATGTACTTATGTACTGTTATCGTTTTTCTGCTTCTTTAATTTCTATGCTGCCTATTCGACTTATCCTTGAGTTTTGGCATTAAATTACACACGCATTGAGATTCATTAAGCGGTTATATACATATATACATGCATACATACTTACACATGTGCATAAGTAGGTATGTGGTGTTTAAAAAAGCTCGTAAACTAACGCACTTGCTAGTTACAGCGCGTTTACACATTTGGTCATATACATACATATATGCATATTTATATGTATCAAGTGAGCTTGCAGCACGTCGTAGAGTAATGTAATCTTCGTTACAATCAGCACTTACTACATACGGCATTTCACGTGCGTACATACATACATACATACATACATATGTACATATGTAAGTAATACTTTTTGTGATTTTATTCTATTTCACCATCAATCCCATTTGTTTGTGCTTTCGATTTTCAGATTAATTAATTGTAATTAGAATTCAACTATGATAAGAACTTTTTTCTTGTATAAACCTGTCTTATTTTGTTAAAAAAAAAAAAAAAATTCCGAAAATGTTAAAAAATATATGGGTTGTGTTGTTTTTCCTCTCCAGGATTGCCGTGTGAAAAAAAATGTTTTCATTATTTCTCTTAAAACATTAGGTTAGATTGAACTAGTTGCCGCTAACGGGTCTCTCTTACGTCTATCAAGATGCACTACGTACGACCGAAGCTGTACTGCGACGGGGTTTGTTCGGTCTCTGGTTGGAAGAAGATTGCTGTTCTCTTTGCAAAGCGAAGTTGAGATTTTAATCCTTTATTCATGTTGATTGAAGGTCCTGCAGTGTTTTAAACAGAGTATGATTAGCCGTTATGTGGACAAACGCTGAGCACGCACAGTTTAAGTACCCCGCATATTCCCTGTAGTTTATTTTTACTCTCTACCAGACCAGACCATACAAGGTAATACCCCGTTAATAGTCCCACCAGCAGCCTGTAGTCTTGCTTCTCTTTCGCGGGATAGGTACTGCACATGATTTTCGCTTCAGATTCTGCAGTCATTTTTCCGTTCCCGCAGACTTTTCGCCTGGCGAAGCAAGATAATGCGACTCACTGGTGTGTCCATACTAAAAGGATATCTTCTTTAGCCAGTTCATCAGCTATCTCATCACCTTCGATGCACATAAATTTTAACTCTTCTGTTTTCAGTCATTCTTTTATTTGTCTCCTTTCACAATACAACCTCGTCCGATTTCGTGTGCGATGAAATAAGGCCTTAATGCAGGAGCTCTGACGCCGCAGTACTTTGACACCTTAAATAACTTTGTTATATCTCACTCTCCACCGTTCATTTCAGAAATATTTGTGAAAATATACATATCTATTCATTTGACGGTGGCCTTCCACCATGCCAGAACACAGTAGAAACTTATTGTTAAATACTAAATACAAAGATATGGGAAACCTTTTACACGAGACTTTGAATGCCTATTCACTCGTTCTTCCCTATTGAGTTTCCACGATAATTTGCTGCCCAACACGTTATTCTAAGTATTGACTGTAAAGTGGCCTCTGCCTCAGGTTTAAACCAAGCTGAATTTTTGTATTTCCCTGTGAATTGAACCAGTTCTCTGTTTTGACTGTTTTAACCCACTGAATTAGTGTGCAATAAATGAAATTTCAACTGCGTAGTCTGTAAGCATTCCATCCGCAATCCATTGATCGCGAAAGTCCAAAGGGCAGAGAGGTGATAAAACTCGTCTCAATGCTAGGCGTCTGGGCGCTTTCCGTGTGAGGTATCGCTCAGATAAATGAAGACAAATACTGCTCCATAACAGATAATGCTTTTATAACTGATAATTAAATTTTTATTGCCACCCAATTGAGTTCAAAACTCCGTTTATGGCCAATTGTTAATAGTTCATATTTCAATTAATTTTTTTTAACACAATTCTTATTGTAATATTTATTATCTCTGAGAAAACTCAATAAATGTCTTTATAAAGAGAGCAAGAAATTTTACTTTTTATAAAATAATATGTGAAAAAATGAATTAAATTCATCATCTCTCCCCGACGGGGAATTGAACCCCGGTCTCCCGCGTGACAGGCGGGGATACTGACACTATACTATCGAGGATGTTTAAGGTATAGGTAGGTATACCTAGCTCTCAAAAAATAATAAAACATGTGCAGGATTCATGAGGGTTCATAGAGTTATAAATCATAAAAAATGATGTTGAAAGGATACGGCGATTAAGAGCACCAAAGTTATACTTTTGTTGCGATAAACCAACTATTGAGAAGCTGATTGATACAAAAGTAAACTATAAAAGTTTTAACGAGGCGAACACATAGTGATCGCAACAGAATTTGTGCTACCTTATTTTACTATGTGAGAGAAAAAAAATTTTTGTGACTATGATTATGCTAGGCGTTACGATATTTTGTGCGCCCCTAATGATTGGACCAATAACTTTAAGAGCATTTTAAACTGTTTTAAATAATTTAGAATCGGAAAATATCAATTACAAAATTCCTAAAATATAAACATCAATTTATTGTATTAAAAAAAAATTGTTATCTTATCTCCCCGACGGGGAATTGAACCCCGGTCTCCCGCGTGACAGGCGGGGATACTGACCACTATACTATCGAGGATGTTGAATTTTTCTTGTCGAATTGTAAACAAATGTTAGAAAGCTTCTAATGCCATGCGTTACACCGTTGATATAACGACAACACACCACCGTTCCGTCAAATTTATTAGAACTTAAATATAGCTTGTTTTCAGCGACATCTGTAGCGCATCACACTCAACCTAATGCAACATGTAGTTCCGGTTTTTTCACAACAGATGGCGCTCACAGTAGATGCTATGTGTTGCTTAGTCATAGTTGAACTTTTCAGCGAAAGCTCCTCTACGTCTGCTACGACAACATTATCATTGCCGACGTATTTTGCTGTCGGTCGCACACCGCCGTGTGTTTTGTTTATGTAAAAAGTTATTGCACCCGACGTACAAAGCACGCGAACGAATAAAACAAAGCAAAATGAAATCAGTTAATGTCAACAGTAACGGCAACGATTCGGTTTCTATTACTAAGGTTTCTCTAAATTTAGCTAAACAAATCCAACACAATACATATAAAATTAGTAGACGAGTGTGGGTAAGGAATCGAGAGAGAAAGAGATACTCACTGTTGCAGCGGCGAGAGAGCGAGATCAAGACAACTTCTGCGCAGTAGCGCACTTTGCATGCACACTAACAAAAAATCTCGCTTCATGCGCTTGTGATTGAAATGAATGAATTAACGAAGAGATTATACAGAGAAATGAAGAAAAACAACACACAGCGCAAACAAAAAATGCCGGTCAGAGTCAAGAGACACATTGAAATACAAACACACTTTTCAATATGGCCGACATGACAAATAAAAGGCGATAAAGAAGTTAATACAAATATGAAAAAAAAGTAATGAAATATTGTACATACGAAGGTGATGCCAAGCGCATGGTCGTTCGTAGGCATGCTTTCGCTCTCTGTTCCACACATTTCGCTTCACATCTTGTTATATGTATGTACAATACATTATGTACATAGATATTGCAGCATTTGCCGGTGCGGTTTGGTTTCGCCTTGCTAAATTGTTTTCCTCTACTATTTTAGTCTATGTTTTGACACATAATTTCTTTGCGTCGCCGTCGTCATCATTATTGCCTGCCTTGGCTTTCGTCGTCGCTGCAGCTCGCTGTGGTCTGCTTACTAATGTTCGGGTAGGTTTTGATTTTTTACTTTAGTTGTTGCTCTCAATACCTATTAATGCATGGATGTGTGTATATTACCTGGAGTCAATAATTTCTTCTCTCTCTCTCCCTCTCTGCCCTTCCGCCAGTCAGTCAGTCAAGCATTTTTTTCGTTTGTATGCAGTTATGAATATGAGCTTCGCTGCAAAACCTTTATTACTTTTGTGGCATTTATTGCTGTTTTATGTTTGGTTTTTTTGTTGCTAATGCATATTGAGAGCTTCACTTTTTATGGTTTTCGGATTTTCTTATATGCGCTTTCGTTTCAACCGAAGTCGGCAGCATTTGTGGTGGCATCACATTGAGTCGTCGGCTGCTTGTCGGTGGACATGGGAATTTGGCATCGCATAACAAAGAAAATATTGTAATTTGCTCCGTTACTTGTTTTTTGTTTGTTTTTGTATCTCTTCTCTTGGTTGTAGTTTATGGCATACATATCGATGTTTGCTTCTCAGGATGACGTAATATTTTTCTTAAATTCTCAAAGTGTTCTATTACCCCAAACAATACATACAAGTAAACTTCTGGCGCAGAAAACTTATGTCGCAAGTAAGATTATTTTCTTTATGGATTTTGTTTACTCAAAATTTTGTTTATTTATTGCAGTTGTTAGAGAAGTTCAATGCCTAGTGGCGCTAGAGAAATGTGTAGAGCGCTTGCAATGAAAAAAAAAATGGTAATTGGGCACCGTTAATGAAACTACTCCGAGACATTATGAAAATTTGTAATTATCGTCCTACACAATTATACTTAATTTCAAAATTGCTGAATATAATAAAAAATTTTCTCTGTGATCTATTTTAAGAATTATATAATTTTAAGAGTACATTTTAGGTTTGGAAGGAAAACGTTGTTAAATGCGTTTTAAAAAAATTCATCTGGTTATTTATTAATTAAAAAAAAATCATCATTTATGATCTCCCCGACGGGGAATTGAACCCCGGTCTCCCGCGTGACAGGCGGGGATACTGACCACTATACTATCGAGGACGTTAAAATTTAATATTCAAGAAACGCATATGACTAACCTAGACAAAGTGAATGAGAGACCTAGATAAGATTAGAACTTTGCCACTATGTAAGTGACACCGCTCTATGTTTGTATTTCCATTATTAGTTTGTAAATATTATATCTGTATGTATGCGGAAATAAGTCTTTATAATAACATAAGCGCTACTGTGAAACCACAATTGCTTTGATAAATAAGTTCTATTATTAACCACACGCCAAAGATGCTAATCACTATACTATCGGTGATTTTTACACATATTTAATAATTCTTTGTTCCTTGGGGATGGTCCATTGTCATATTTTGGGCCTTCCGGGTCATTTCAATACCTTCATGTAGTCCAACGTGGTATTTCCTGTGATCCCTGATTTCACTGCCCGATGGAACGTGGTTTTCGTTTTGTTTTGAAAACTCTAAATGCCGACTCATCGGATGTTGTTATTGTTAATGCATTCGCCTCATAATGCATGTTGGCGAAAGTGACTCTGCGTTGAATATATTGTCTGACATTCTCATTGGTGTTAATGGTGGCTCCAAGATAGACGAGGGCCTGTCAATAGTAACCCGTTTTCAACAGGACACTTGAAAAATGTGGGTCATTAATAGTTTACTTAGTCACTTTTTGTTTTAAAAACCATCCGATTATCCAATGTATAGAATAAAATTTCTGACAGAGCGAAGTGGACAGGGATAGGTCATGGTGTTTATTTTAAAGAATTGAAATGAGCAATCAATAATACATGGAAAAAGGACTAATTCGTGATTATATCAAGATAATAGAGAGGGGGGCAAGACTTCTTTGCAGTTTTTTTCTGAAAAATAAACTCAATAAAACGAAAAAATCCCTGAAGGGTTCATTTTCATGCGCTAGCACCTGCTGTCAAATCCGCTTTTATCTCAAGAATATTGTTGTAAAGCTGAGCCACAAAGCATTTGAAGCTGACACAAGTGTATTTCATCAGCAATTACCACAAATAAATACATACATATGTATGTTTGTACATGCTTATATGTATATAAACAACCTTTGTTAAAGAATTTCATATTAGCGTTTGGCTGACTGATTTATCCACATTAATGTCTGTCTGGCCAAAATTGTTCTTGTTTCATGCGAAGGTATACTCGTATATACATACATGTTGACTTTCGTATGTATACCGGAGGTGCTTTTCTACATCTTGCCACAATTTTATTTTGATTTAAATCCGTTTTTCACTGTTTTCAACCACTCAACCCAAGCATGGAGGCCGAACAGCTGGTAAACTAGACACTGACGTCGCCAAACATTGTCTTTATTGCTTTAAAATACCAAAACAAAAAATACAACTGTGGAAAATCGGGTCGAAGTTGGCTGGCTCTGGGCACACCCAGCCAAATGGTGAGCTTCGTACAGACAAATAATAAGTTTAAAGCGGCTTTCGGCTGCGTTGAGGACGGAATGTCGAGAATGTACATATGTATGTATGTAGGTAGAGTAGAAGAAGCCGACTTCCGAGTATATTCATTCGATACATTGTTGAACGTCGAGAGGATACACATTTTTGGCACACGATCTGGGCAGACGCATAGCGTGCATATACACATTCATAACCAAAAATGTTCTTTCATATATACATAGGTACATACATACATATGTGCATATAGCTAAAGCTATTTTGGTATATTAGAATTTGTATGGCCCAGACATGGAGTTTCCCACGCATCAAACAGCACAGTGGCGGCGCCAGTGTAGACACCATTTTCCAACCGAATGCAGGATTTTTCGTGTTTTTGTTTGCTTCACACTCATCGCGGCTTGGCTGGGGGGGAGAAGTAGGGGAAATCATACGACGCTTACTGACACCGTTAAACGAGGCGAAAGTCAGTTGCAGCCGAAGGGAAAGTTGAACAATCGCGTGTTGGTTATTGCAAACAATGTTTAGTACCCGAAATATTAGTAATACATACATACATACATGCATACAGACATGCAGGATACTTATGAATTCGTCTTCAGATACATATACATATATTTGTATGAATTTCAAGCCTTTGCAGCGTGTCGGTATTAGACGTTAACTTCGTAATGATGTTGCTGTCGGGGCACAGTGTAAGTAATAATGTGTGGGTGCCGATGATGATGACGCTGACGTTGATGTCGGTAATGTCCTTAAGGCTATCTGTGGGAAGGAGACGGCGCAGACGAGTTCACCATGGTAACGACCCGACCCTACCGCTTCGTGTTGCTGCCGCTAGTTGGTTGGTTGGTTGGTTGGTTGGCAGTAAAATGCCAATGTACGCTTTCCAAGTTATGCTCGTAAAATAGCAGGAAAAATGCAAAGCTCTAAAATGGAAACTCGTAATGAAACGTGACGACAAAGACGTCTGGTGGCCTTCAACCTTCAGTTTTCAGCCTTCAACCTTCAACCTCTTTCGGTAACCAGGACACAGCTGTTTGTTCGTTCTATTGCAACTAGAAGTGTGTGTGTGTGTGTTTGTTTGTTTGTTTGTTTGTTTGTGTTTTTGCGTTGTCTCAGCTTATTTGCCTCTTCTCAACGCTGAAGCTGTGCATTTATTGCGTCGTTGACCGATTTGTACGCTGTGCGACTCGGAAAGCTGAAGTGCGAGCAACACTCATTCTACCTGACTGTGGGTTCGGTCATTGGGTCGTTTAGCGATTTTTAGCATTTGATAAACACTCTTAACGGCAATGTGCTGCTAGGCATACATACATACATATGTACATACATACATACATACGCTTGCTGTCCTCCCTGACCCAGTCCACTAGTTATGCAAGTTCGCTTGTCTGGCTGCTGCCAATAGTTTGTGCCATTCGAGTTAACTGTTTCTGCTGCCGTTGTTTACGGTAAATGAATTTAGGACATGCGCGCCCACTTGCCAGTTTATTGCTTTTATCCTTACGCCTTTATGCCTGTCTGGCTGCCGTCTTGCCGTCTTGCCATTTGAATTTAGGTTCTTATTAAATTTTCTCCTCTACTCATAAATGGTGCGTATGCGTGCAATCGTAGGTGCGTTGACCGTCTATTTTAATTAAATACAGTTCAAATGGCTTGAGTGAGGAAAATATATGGATGTTATTGCCCATATGCCAGCGAAGTTGGGCTAATGTTGATTCAACGTTGGAAACGCGTATGGCACATGTGGCGTGTACACACATATATGTACGTATGTATGTATGTATGTTTTTTCTAAGGGATGAGCATTGTGTGTAGCATTGACCTTGCTAGGAAAAGAAATTTATAAATACAGATGTACAGGCAAATATTTTCTATTTCTTCGAATCTTTTTCGCAAAGGGGTTTCCAATAAGAGTAGTTATTTTGATATTTAAAAAAAAAAATGATATATTTTGAGATAACTGATATGATGTTTATTTCAATATAAATAGGAAGATATGCCATTAATAATGGAAAGCAATATCCGCCACGCTATGCTTGCAGAACCGTAAAATTTGTATGAAATTTTTCATCAGCAAAACGCAAAGTGGCTGCTGTATGGCCTCAATATCTTCACGAATTCTTTTTTAGGGTCGACGTTGGCCTGTTGGCGTCGGCCTTACCTTTCACGTGGCCCCAAAGAAAGAAGTCGCAAGGTTTTAAATCACAAGATTTCTTTAGTCAATTGTGATCACCACTTCGAGAGATAACACAATCCGTAAACTTTTTTCTTCAAAGAACGATAGGTTCGTTGCTTGTGTGGCACGTAGCGCCGTCTTGTTGAAAGTAAACGCTGTCCACATCCAATTCCGGCAAAAAAAAGTCATTAATGATATATCGATAGCGAAACCATGCACCGTAACCCTTGCTCCAGCCTTATTCTCGAAAATATAAGGCCTAGTGACCCCGCCGGACCATAAACCGCACCAATACAGTAACATGTTGAGGATGGAGAGGCTCTTCAACAATTAATATTGGGTTTTTCCGAGTCCCAGAGTCCCATCGAGGTGTAAACGGGTTTCATATGTCAAGATGATTTTTCGATGAAATTCCGTATAATTTTCATGCATTTCAAGTACCCAATCGGCAAAGACACGTCATTGCTGTTGATCGGTGGGATTTAGTTCTTGTATTAAGTGAACCTTATGAGGCTTAAGACCCAAGTCCTTATGTAAAGTACGGTGTAAGGACCTTTATGCAATGTCCAGTCCCAAAGAACGACGATAAATGGAAGAATCTAGGGTTTCTTTAACACTTTGGGCTACCGAGAAGGTGCCTCACGATCTCTCAACCGAGCTTTGCGAACCGTCTCTTCCAGGCTTCCACCATTTTTTTTTAGTGAATTTTAGTAATTTCAAAGCGTTTTGAAGCTTTTATCATTTCATTTTTATTACTGGCGTAGTTTTTACTTGTCAAATGTGAATAAAAATTAGCTTCAAAAGTGATATCTATCGGACAGCAGGGCATTCAAAATGACACCTCTTGCTGGAGAACCCTTTACATAAAAACCTTTCGTTGGTTTTAAAAGTTCACATATCTCGATCGGTAACTCCTGATCCACTGAAATTTTTATACAACAACACTGTCTGCCATTCCTCGATCAACTCTTGCTGACGATATCAATGCTTGCCGAAAATACTCAACGTTTTTACGATTTGCGCAAACTCTGCAATTAACCACCAATTTGCGTCACAACCTTCAAAATGATTCATCAGTCAGTTACTGGAAGGGAAGAACGGCAAAATGTCAATCGGACTTCCGGACAGATTACCTTACCCGATAACTTCTGTAATTTAGGAAGAATTGATTCCCGTATATCCGAATCAAATATTGAGATCATGGCTGGCTGAGTGTGCGATTTATCCGCTCCACAATAAACAAAACTGTCTACGACCTCAACCATACTATTCAGTCCAACATTGAATGTGAATATGTTGAGGAAACAGATGACTATCCAATAAAATTTTTAAATTCTTTGGACATAGTGAAATTTGAAATTTGAAAATCAGTGTGCCCATTGAATGGCCGAAAATCTGCCTCGGTGAAGACACCCTCATTCCTCGAATCCCCATCATTACCTCCGATAAACTCTCTCAACACAAGCGACTAAAGTTCCTTGTTGATGTCACTTGCGACGAAGCATACAATTGTCAATATGCTTAGCAATTCCACAGATTGACCCTGAATCCCTGCCACCCTGCCAGCCGTAGAAGGCAGACCAGATAGCCTTAGTATTTGCATGACCGATGGTAAATCCAAAACTGTCCAGTGTTTCACCTTTCATACATTCATTGAGTATGAGTCACAGCGGTGCGTTGCGGGGTACAGCTAGTTTACTGATATGACTTATTCGTTAACTAGTGACAAAAGCGTCCGATCTCAAACTATTTCTCCCTGGGCTACATGAGACTTTGGCAAGCGGATAGAAAGGATGTGAATTATTATTATTAATCGATATTCTTCGGAAGGGTGGTTCCTTTTTATTAGAGGAAAATTTGGGGATTGAATGGCGCGGCGTATGAGGTAGCGTGCCTTAGCATACTTGACTTGCATGATATGTGGCTTTAACAAGACGGTGCCACATGCCACAAAGTACGCGTAACAATGGACTCATTGAAAGGCGAGTTCGGTGAACATTTTATTTCACGTTCGGGACCGCTCAATTGGTCGCCTAGATCATGCGATTTAACACCTTTTTTGTGGGACTCTGTTAAATCTATCGTCTATACAGACAAGCATTTATTTTTGAGATACCGGCCGAAATCTTGGAAAGAGTATGCCAAAATTGGACTAAGCGGATGAACCATCCGTCCGTCACGGTCAACATATGCATAAATCTTCAAGCATTAAATAAGGACCGTACCCTCGATTTCATGAATTTTTCTGAATTTTATGTGTTTTTTTATTGAAAAAATTTCCTATAGCTCTTAAAAAATCACCCTTTAGTAATCATATTTTAATGCCTTATTATACCGTAAACTTTTTTTTTGAAAGCAAAAAATTTTGCTCAGAAAGGAATTTTTATCTTTGATCAGTAAGATAAATCTCAAAAAATAAATATTATTTTTGAAGAAAAATTTTTTTTTGGAAAAATTTAAAACTAAAATCGTTACGAATATTTTTTATGAAAAAAATGAAATTCGAGAGAAATTCTTTATTATTGATTAAAAAATTAAATAAATAGTGATTAAAATATTGAACGAAAATATAAAAATCGAAAATAAAAATTATAGCTGATCGAAAAAATATAAGTTAATAGTTAATAATTATTTTCTGAGATATAAGTAAAAATTCAAAATTTATTATTAATATTGATTTTTATAGATATTGAGCACATTTTTCATAAAAATCACCGCAGAATCGCAAAGAACCACCAGAAATATGCCTAAGCATATGCAGAAATCTTTCATGAGATAAGTGAAAGTCTTTGATTTTTTTTCACTGAGAAGCCAAAAAAAAAAGATTATTTTTGATCCCTACACACCAATTTTCAAATCTCAGTCATGCATAATATATTTTTTTCTCTCTTTCTTTCTTTTCAGGTAAGTTCAGTGCACAACGCTTGATATTTGACCCCGATCAAAGCTTAGCTACAGCTGCTATCATTCTATATTGACACCAATTGGCTGCGTCTGAATTTTCCATGGAAGTCAAACTAACGGTGAATTTGTTGCAATAATCAAACCAAAAAAATTTTTTTTTTTTTCGAAAACACATATATTTCACATGTGAGTGTGTCTAAGTTTGTGGCAAATGCTCAAATTACAAACGAAATTCCGTCTGGGCTTGACTGAAAATCAATCGAGTGAGGAGAATTATGAAAGAATCAAATTAAATGCTTCCTAAGAAAAATTTTGACGATGACTTGCTAACTAAGAAGACTAAAAAAAATTAATAATAATAAGGCGTTAATATACATATTCATACATATACTCGTAAATGAGACGCAATCAATAAGAAAAAAGTTAAAAAAAGTTCAAAAAAAAAAAATTCAAAAACAAAATAAAAACTTTTCAAGCTCGCATAAATTAGTCATTTCGCTCTCAACGACAATTAGGCGCGTCTGCATGCCAACATGCCACACCGAATTTTGCCACGCAATGCTGCTGCAACATGCAACACAACGGCGCATGCATAAATTACCCTTGAAATATTTCGAAAATGAGAAACCAAAACAAATTACAAATACACAAAAGTGAAGCGCAAACTGAAGTCTTAGTTGTGTCTTAGGTGTGTGTGTTTGTGTGTGTGTAAATACATATACAATTTCAAGGTCCCCGAAATTAGTGTTCGTTTCTGCCTTGAAGAACTTTTTTTTTTACTTCTCTCACTCTCCTTTTCCATTTTTTTGCTATCTTTTATTTATTAGTTTCTTGTTGTTAATATTATAATTTTTTTTTCTTTAATGGATCGTCCATGTTTCGGCAATATGCGTAGGAAATTTGAGATAGATTTTAAAAAATGAATAAGCGAGTATGCGCAGTTTTATTTTTTTGGCAAGAAGGAAGTGTATTGGCTTCCACAGAAAACGGAGTGTTCTGACAGCAGACATTTCTCTGTCGACCCAGGGAAATGAGTTAACAAACTAGGGAAACCACAAAGAATTTATAGAATCTGACTTAGATTGCTGAGTTGTAGAAGCTTTGGTTTTCTTGCCTTGGAGAAGGGAGGAAGATAGATCCATTTTGAGGTGTGTTCTACACATCGTTTTAGTTTCTTGGTGCACAATAATATATCCGACTGAAGTGTACAGATTAGATTATATCTACTTGAGAGATCCACTTTATTCGAGTTCCGATTTCTTTCATTCAGTTCTTTCCATGGTTTAGGAAATCATCGATGTCAGATTTGTAGGCGCAAAGTTAAAGAGAGTTGGGATCGAAGGTTTTTTCATAGATTGAAAATTATTTTCTATTTCTTCAATCGAGCGGAGAAAAATTTTATTAAAAACTCACAAGATTATTGAAACTTCCAGGTGTTTTATCTGCATTCGATGTAGAAATTACCTAGGAAGACTTGTTGGGCTGCACTTAGGGGCGGGGCAGTAACGGATTTAAGACTCCAACGCCGCCTCCTTGTCTTTGTCTTTGTAGCCGCGACAGAAATCGCTAGAGAAGTAGACTCTCACTCTACCATGAGTCTCCTACAAATAGTGTCCGGTAATTACGTCGGTTTTTAGGTTCGTGGAGGTTCTGTTTAGAAGGGGTAGAGACTAGGATAGGGTATTATGTAGAGGAAAGAGCTATGTGGTTAGGTATGTCCGGGAACCCAAATCGCTGTTCTTTGTTTAATGTTTCCATACATTTTATTGCTACCGTTGAGGTGATGTGATCACAGTTAAGAGATTTAATGGTACCTTAGCTTTCAGAATATATTTTGATAGACTGAGTTACTGTATTGAAGTGCTCAGTCATGTCGATTGCAAGCGATTCGGCCGCAGTCCATCCGAGCATCGAGTTGGGAACTGTCAGTGAAGATGGGTACGGATGTTTGTTTCAGACATTTTGCATTATCCCATTCGTTCCTCCCTGTTATTTTTGTTGAGAAAATGTTGTCTCTTCCGAGAATATTGTACAATTCAGTATTCGGGCGTGCCCTTTACGGTTTCTTTAAGGTTAAATCGTATTTAGCCTTATGGCGTTGAAGCTCGCCTGGATTTTTCCATACAGGTCTGTCGGGAGAAAATCAAGGAAAATTTCAAGTGCTTTCAAAGGGTCTTAGTCCCCATCTCTTATCTATTTGCGCTGCTCAGACTTAGAACGCAATCATAGCTCTCTTATTCCTTTCAACTGTGTTATGATTCTAGTTCGTCTAAATGCGTTCCAAGCCTCATTTCGCGAAGTGTACTCTTGACTATCTTGGGTAAAGCTCCCTCGAAATCAACGAAAACGCATGATGTATACTCTTTTAGAGCTAGACTCTTAATCCTCGTCACGATTTAGTGAATAGAGGTGCCGACTGTTGGTTCCCGAGCAGGCCGTTTTTAGGTATATCTTCACTTATGTAGACATCAAGCATTCTCTTTAAGATTTTTAATAGAAAAGGTGTAAGGTTGATTGGTCTAAAATCTTTAGGATGACTGGTCGTTTCGCCATAGGCAGAGTAAATAGTACATAATAAGGAGGCGGTATAGATGCCATCGAAACTCGGAGATTTTAGGTTAGGTTGGAAGGATACTTTTATCCATTCCTCCCTGCAGTTTTTGAGATTCTTTACGCCAGGTACGACCTTAGCTGTAGTTTCTGGGCAGCTGACGGGAGAAGCGTGAGCTTCTTCAGAGCATCCATGGAAGTGGGAGCTCACTAGAATATCTACAATTTCCCCTCAAATACTGTTCATTCACCATTTGATTTCTGGATATGGTTCGGTATAGCATAACTCTGGAAAAGACTTTCCTTAGTCATATTTCCTAAAATCCGATTCTTACGGTACTTCTGTTCAACGATTCTCAGGCCATTGAGCGAAGCGACAACGCGTCGGATGTTGATGAGGCTTCAATTCGTGAACCAATCGGACTTAATACAGTCAACATTTCCGAGTCTTCTTCAAGCACTAACCATTTCGTAAAACGTCAACCTTGTACTGAATATTGGACTCATCGGGAATTTCTTTACAGATGTAAAAGCTAAAATAAGTCGCCGTTCAAAAAGCACACGATAGATGTCCCTCCATTGATTATTTTCTAATACTAATACAAGAGTTCATAAGATCCTCTCTCATAGGTCTGGGAGAAGTATACGAGTGGGCCACCTCCTCCTATGTTCCTACATTGCTTTGTCGAATCTTATTTGATGATCATGAATGCGAAGAACAAATTTGTATGCATGCATTTTGGTGCTTTCTCATATTCTCTCTCCACATATTCTTTCTTACAATCACATTTATTTACTTGGTCGTTCTTTCAATATTGAATTAGAACCGGTTTACTTGAGTTTTAGGTTTTAGGTAGATTGCAATTTTTATGGTTGTTGTTGTTGCTGTTGTTGTTGTACTTTTGGTTAAAGCTTTTGTTCCCGCTTTGTGCTTCGATGTTTTGCTTGCTGCATTTCCTGATTATGGACGATGGCAAACAATAGAAGCAAAGTCAGCCCGTGTATACGACAACAACGTTTGCTGCGTTTTTGCTGGTAAATTCTACAAAAAGTGTTTTTTGTATGTGAAATATCTACATAAGGTTAGTTAAGCGCAAGCGAGTAGACATAATTTAGAGAAGCTACCATATGTGGTTAGTATTCGAAGCATGCTTCGGTTGCATAACAGAAGCATGTGACCCTGAAATATTTATTCATTCAAGTATGGGAATATCTTTTGCGATGAAAAATGAATTTATTTTGTAATGAAAGTAAATATGTAATAAAATTAATGAAATATCAGTATATATATTTTAAAGCTTCTTTTTTCGTTTCAAAAAGCCCTTCTCCTTTCACTCCATTTATTACATAAGGAATTATATAAAGTATTAAATGTGCACTAATTGCGCAGCAAAAACTGAAGCCCATCGAATGCTTGTGGAAGTTTATTCTCCTGGCATTGACGAAGGCAAAAGTATTCAGGGCGACAGCGGCTCGGGTACTTAAAAGAAATCAAAGATTTGCTCAACTACTGGATCATGCCAGAGTAAATTAATTTTTTTAGAGATGGAATTCAAAAAATAACCATAGACTTGGACAAAATATGAAACTTCCGACGGACAATGATTTGAAAAATGTTGTTTTTAAAATCACTTTTTTGGACAGAAAAAGTATAATAAAATATTTTACTTTCATTTTAATTTTTTTTTAATTTTTCTCTTGCTATACTTCTTTTTATTTTTACTTTTATTTTTTATTTTAATATATTTTATCTTCTTTGATTTAATTTCTTTGTACTTTTTTCTTTATTTTATTTGGTTATAATTGTAATTGTGTAGTTGTAACTTATTTAAACCAATTTAAATTCATTTTGTATTATATTTTATTGTTACATTTTAACTCAATTGACTTAATTTAATTGCATATTTTTTCCTTTGTTTTTATTATTTAATTTAATTTTGTTTATTTATAATATTTTTTTTAGTCTTTGTTCTACTTTATTTTCTTTTATTTTATTTATTTCAAATAATTTAATTTTACTTTATTTTCTTTAATTTTCCTTTATTTTTATAATTTTTTTATTTTAATTTAAGTTTGTTGCTTTGTTATATTTTTTTCCTTTAATTAATTTTATTTTGATTTATTTATTTGTCATTTTATTTCTTTATCATTTTATTTTATTTTTATTTTATTTTATTTTATTTTATTTTATTTTATTTTATTTTATTTTATTTTATTTTGTTTTCTTTTATGTTGTTTTATATATTTTATTTTATTTATTTCATTTAATCTAATTTAATTTTTTTTTTTCTTTTTATTATTTAGTTTTCTCTAATTTTCTCCTCCTTTTTTATTTTTATTATCTCATATTTATTTTGTTATATTTATTTTACTTCCTTAATTTCAGTTAATATCATTTAATTAAATTTTTTCATTTAATCTCTTTTATTGTTTTATTCAATTATATTATATTTTATTTTTATTCTTTAATTCTATTTTATTTCATATTTTTTTATTTTTGTTTTATGGCATTTTATTTGATTATATTATTTCATTATGTATTTTATGTATGCATAAACGAGTATACATCCTTAATTACACACTTAAACTAAATTCCAACGCCTTTGCCAGAAATTGTAATAAAAAATAATAATAAATGGTGAAAAAAATATCATGACGCCCCCGGGTGGGCTCGAACCACCAACCTTTCGGTTAACAGCCGAACGCGCTAGCCAATTGCGCCACGGAGGCGTTATAAATATCACAACCCGAATACGCAACGGATTATGGGATTGTTGACTAACGGCAACTGAAAACAACATGAAAAT